TCAAAGGCCTCCTAGCACCTATCATTTTCTCTCCATGAAGGGACTTACTATACCAGTCGCATTTTAGTCTTCTTTTAGGTATTCTAAGCAGACTGTGGTCTTTAAATTTATCAAGACTAGATATTTCCCCCAGTTCATCAATCATTTCAATGGTTCTTTTCCCTACCTTTGCCAATTTTTAAACACTCTTTTCAAATGTGGATGCCAGGTCTGGATGCAGCATTCCAAAGTAAAATTACCTCCCTACTCCAACTCACTGTTTTCCTGATTCTTTGTTCAAGGGGTACATTAGCGCTTTTGGTTACAACATTGCTTTGACAACTCTTGTTTGACTGCGTATCCACCCAGGCACCTAAATTTATAGGTCAAAGGTTGGACTTGATGATCTTAAAAGTCTTTGCCAATCTAAATGATTCTGTGATTCTGTGAAATTCTACTCCCCTTTCCTACATATGATACCAACTTCCATCAGATCTCTTTAAGGAAAGATTAAGAAGTGTTTCCAAAACACATTACAAATACACAGTGAAGATCTCAAGCCTTTTGCAACATGTGGAGCAGAAGGCACATGAAACTGCTCCTCAAGCCCTCAGTTTCCTTCTTGCTGGCCCACTGCAATAACCCTTGCCCTATATTTTAATACTGAATTCAGTGTGTTTGACACAACCCTGGAATGTCCAGTGTATACAGATTTAGGAACTGGAGGATCTGTGAGGAATGAAGTTCATGACAGCTGGATAAAGGAAGATCTGGAGCTGTGAGCACACAGAAGAGTTGAAGAACATTTTGGGTTTCTGCAGCCTATGCTCAACTAAGGCTCACAATAGCAGGGGCAGGGTGTTACTCTTAAATCTCTTCTTCTCTTAGACAGAAGCAGAAGTTACATTATTTTTGTGCAGGAACAGATACTATATTACCCAAGTTCTATACAGCAAATCAGCTACTTTGGTTCCTTACTTCACACACAGGTCCTTGCCCGCTGATCATTCACATGAAACAAAGTCCACTTGCAGTTCTAGAAACAGACAGGCACCCATTACTCCCTTTGGGCAGCATCCAAGGCTGCTTCTCTTTGCTTTACCAACCAAAACCCAGCAGCTGTTGCACCCTCAAGTACCTCTACAGCATTCAAACCACAGCAGTATACACCCTAAATGCCATGCTGAAAAATACCACTCTGAACCACAGTACGGATTTCAACTTATTTCAAGCAATTTGACCAGGAAAAAAAAAAATTATGAGTGAGGGTGTCAGTAAGACTACTAAAACAGAATCTAGGACCTGGGGAATATTGGATACCAGAGTAACATACGTGGCCAGGAGCAGTCTGATCTTGGGGGGCCACCCAAGCAAATTTGAGCCTTCGAGTATTGTTTGGTGGGGGACCCTGAAGCAGATGCTTTGGGACACTGGTTATTTAATTTTTACTGTTTTCAGAGAAAAGGTACTAAAGTGACAAGTAGCCATATGCCTTCTTTTCCCCCACAAATGTCAATTCTGAAGCTTCATGACAGTACTAAAGAGATGCTCTGGGGTCAATCTGCCTTGTTCAGCCTCACTAGTAACCGAAACTCACAGTCAAACTCTTTCTTTGTTCTTTCTCAGCCCACCCCAGGGCTGTCACTGAAGAGAAATGGGGATAAGAGAGGAAAGCGGTGATACTGATGATGTATGAGCCACAGCAAAGTCCAGCTCACACACTTAGAGAGCTATGCCAGCTCAGCAAGACTAAAATGCAAAAAAAAAAAAAAAAAAAAAAAAAAAAAAAAAAAAAAAAAAAAAGAAAAAAAGAAACTTTTATTTCATCTAGGAATAGCAGCTCCAGCAATCCAGCTCCTTTCCACTTGGAGAGGAGTTTTGGTAAGTAGGGATGCACTCTTCTTACAATCTTTTTCTATGTAAAATCATAACAAGGCACCTGGCTTTGAGCTCCTTAGCACCTATACAGTAAGGCAACATGGAACTGCATCTGCCTTTACTCTTACAGAGGGTTGAAAACCTGATAGCACTGCTTCTGGTCCAAGGAGGCAAAGTATTCCATTCTTGATTTGTTGATGGAAAAAAAATTGGAAATACCTTCCCTATGAAATATTGGGGGTTTTCTATGGTTTTTTTCCCCCTAAAAGAGCATTTTCATCATCAGATCCAAGAGGAAGGTTCATATGTTCCCTGCAAGACTGTAGGAACCACCCTAAGATAGACCCTGGGTCAAGGTGGTGCTGAAAAGGGAGCAGGGCCTCCTAGGAGCGCTCTTAAATTGTGCCACAGTGTTTCAAAGCAATGTGGCCTTCCACAGGCTGCCAGCAAGAGCATCAGCAACCAGCAGCACAAAACTGGAATATGCTGCTCTAAACCTCCTGTTTTATGATAACTCCAAGAAACACAGCTCTGACATACCCAGCAAGTATGAGTTATGTGCTAGGCTCTTCAGAATTGGCACACCAAATTTCACCCTGGCAAGAAAAAGGGAAATAAAAAAGGATGCCGACCCTAGCTAAGGCTGAACACTCTGCAACACCACTTAGCAACAGCTTACTGGAAAATCACAAGTAAGGGCATTTTAGTCAATAAACGCTTCAAACCAAAGGATATTCACCTTCTTCTCCACATCTGCTGCTTTCTAAACACAGTGTTTCTCTGTATGGCTCACCTTGCACTTAGATAGGTATTTATTTTTGTAAATCACAAGATCCAAGGCCCCAGGGCTAGCAGGGCTGGGGTACCTGGCCATATCAACCCACAGGCAGCAAGGATGTGAGGTAGCCCAGTACCAAGTGTGGCACGAAGGTCACACCAGGAAGGCTGAGTGATCCCCACTCCTGGCTGGCCACAGCAACTTAAACCCTAGGTAAGGCTTGGCCTGACTCCTTTTTGCTGTTTTCCTGCTGCAGCTGTACAGCATCATTCATTCCATGGTCCTCACAATACCCCCGGGGTAAGGAGGTAGCCTCAATGGCGAGGTTTGAAAACCAAGGGGCAGATTCTTAGCTGGTACAAGTCAGCACAGCTTCACTGCAGGCCAAGGAGCTACCACAATTCACCTAAAAAAAGATCTGGCACAGAGAGGCAAAAAGATGCATTGCAGCCACTCTGCAGGTCACTGGGTATGGAGGTTGGGCATCCTGGCTTCCAAGTCCAACAGTACTGGTGACATAGCTGGAAATGTCATACATGGCAGTAAGTCTTGCTCCAGTCAGCTGAGCAATGAAGAAAGAGGACCAGTTCTCAGAGCCAGCAAAAGGTTTTCCACTTCCCTCAGTATCTAAAATTCACTGTCTTCTCTTTTCAGCAGCAGTGCCATCAGTTTTTGGTGCCCTTCACCTTTGGTCACCAGAGGATGCCAGCAGGCACACAAATGCTCTGCCACTCAGCAGTTGTGTCTGCAGTGGGTGACATTCTGGTATTTGCCCACTCATCACTGAGTAGACCCTTTAGCTACGGTGTGAAGGCCAAGAAAAACCATGATAGTCCTCACAGGCCATGGGCTCAGTTCCCCAGACGTCAGAAAAATCTCATATGTGCCCATGTCGAGCTTACATTCATAGGTGAAGGCCCTAGTTTTACATATCATCAGAGGGTACATTGAGGGAAGCTGCAGAAAAGCCACACACAATGCAGACTTAGATAGACAGAGCAGGCACTTCAGCTGGAGACCTCTGGGGAGCCCATCAGACATGCCACCTGTATCAGGTACATTTCCATAGCTTTTAATGTAGCTTAACAATTGTGTCTGAGACAAAGGAGAAGGCACACTGTACAGGAAAAAAAATCTCAAAATGATACCCTTTTATTTTTAAGCTCTGATGAAACAACTTTCCAAATGACATCCCACTTAAAAACCAACGGAAACCAACCTAACTATATGTCAGTCACACTATACAGATTGCATCCTACATTTTCAAGATGCCTTCAAGATATCTTCTGTAGTATTTACAAATATATCAGTTAGGTAGTAGTAAAGGTTCATTGCAATTTGTTTCTTTCCAGCACACAGTTACTCAATGGCAAAAAAAGCCTTGGGGATGCATTTGCATTTTTGTACAACACTTTTGAGCAAATGGCTAGGGCAATTTTCCTGAGAGAAGGCTTGTTCTTTGAAACTCTTGCTTTAACAACTGGAAATACAGAAAGTGGATGCATTTTTGTTGAGCTAAAAAGCCTAAGGATGCCTAGTTAAGTTTTTCTTTTAAATTACTTAACGTACCATTAAGTTAAAATGTTTACATTCATTCGTATAAAAACCGTTGTTAAATCTTATGCAAATGATTTAACACTGATTGCTGCAACGCAAATTGCACTTCTTTAAAAAAATTATTGTATATATGGAAGAAAAATATCTGATTGCTACCCTGTTTACAAATTTTGACTGACTCTATACAGTTCAGCCAGAAAATATGAACTTTCATAAATCTCAGTCACAGTGTACTTTAAAAGTTATATCGTAGTCTTGCAAAGTGAGTAAATATCTTAAACCAGGAAAAAACCAACCCCAAAATCTCCTTAACCAGCTGGACCTTGTGGGACTTGTACCAAACATTGTGATTTCTTCCAGGGGCATAGCTGGGCTCTGAGGAGCAGAGCAAGGCACACTGAAGATGGAGGGCAAAGGAGGGAAGAGGTCTGACAGGGCAAAGATATCAAATGTTCAGTGCAAGAAGTCTGTGCCGACTCAAGCCACACGCACTTCTGTCACTCATTAAAAAGTATCTCACTATCTCTGGTAATTAAAGTCTTTGCTACTTCCTCCCCGACAATGATGGCTTCCACCAAATTCTTAGGGGAAAAGGCGATGAGAGAGTGAAAACAACTATGCAATCAGAAAGGCAGCGCTGCTGGGTAAGTTGAAGATGTATTTCTGGAACCCGTCAATAGGTCTAGGTCTATATGGTTTTTTTTTCTTTTTCTTTTTTTTCTTTTTTCTTTTCTTTTTTTTATTTGTTTTGGGGGTTTTGAGGGTTTTTTTGAGATTGTAAGGCTGCATTAGCTATCCCCCCGTGGTCATTTGCTTTCCCTATATTTTTCTTGCATAGATGAGGAACTGGATGCTTTGGCAGAGCCTCTTTCAGAGGTTGAAAAACACCTCTGCCACCAAGGCTCAAAAACTATTTCAGAGGAATGGTCTTTGCCAGCACTCTTGCTTCTGCTGCAACCGCTCCACAGGAGAAACTGTGTGTGGACATCTGGGGGCTGCCATGCAGCACCAGGATCCAGCTTCCCTCACATCAGGTCATGCCAGAGCCAGGGCACACCAGGGATCTTGTCTCACAGATGCTGTCACTTCAGCCGTGGAGGTCAGGCTGACTCCTGTGTATAGCCCATCTTGACCTGAATACTTAAGGTTGCTGCTTTCCGGACTGGTGCTCTCTCCTGGGCCAGACATCACTGACGAGCTCGCCTGGAGGGAGGGAGAGAACAAAGAGAGAGGCATTGAGCAGGTGAGCTTTGCACCACACTGGGTGCAAGTGAGAGCACAGCAGGCCCAGGGCACAGTCATTATCCCAGGATTTCTGCAGAAAAACAGGGTTTGCCCTCTGCTTGCCCCTGTGCCTCCAAATCCTGAAAAAACCCATGTCTCAGCATCAGCCCAGTCACTGAGCCCTGTTGATGGGAGAGATATCTGTGTTTGGAGAGGTGGAAAAGAAAGCTCGTGATGCACACAAAAACCTGGAAATCAGACCGTGGTGAAGAAGCCCGTGTGTGTGTGTCCCGCTGCCCCCTACTGAAGAGACATAAGTGACAACACCAAAAATGTGATCTGGGAGTGGTGGCACCTGTAGTTTTTCTTCCACAATTGGAGAAGCCTGATACATCCCAATTCTCCAGCAGTAGATATGGAACACCTCCTGGAAATCAGCCTTCTTTGAGTCCCTCAGACCCTGAAATGCCTAAAATCATTCCTCACCCTTCAAAATGCTAGCCACGACCACTTCATCCCTGGACACTAAAGGAGATGATCTTTAATCTCCAGCGGAGAAACACTATGCCTTTGAAGCAGGAGACTTTTTGTTCCGCTGCCTATACAAGATAACGTGCAGGAGAGCCCTGGTAGGCACGAAGATGAACCTCTGAACTGCACTGGAACCAGTCCATTTATTTTAACAGAGAAATGGAGAGTTACAAAGACAAAGGAACAATCATTTTTTCCATGAGTCTGAGCAGATCTACTAAAGAGGAAAAATTCACTGTGCCAGACAGAGAAGGGGCAACATTTTCACCTGATAAAGGAAATGTTTAAGAGCTGACTTCATGCAAAATTAACCCTTGGATATGTCAACTTTAAAACCTTAATTTACTTGTTAATGGATAGCCTTTGGATGAAATTCCTTAAAAAAAAAAAAAAGGCTATCCTAAACTCTGACTGCAGAAGCTTCCTGCCTGCTGTTTAAGTGAAAAGTATACATATTTAATCATTTTACAAGAGTAGAGCTCTTGGCTCTCCTGGACCTGTGCCAAGCTAGCAGTCCTGACATAGGAAAAGCAAAGCTTCATTTATTCAAAGGTAATTTCCAAATGGTGCAGTGCAGGGTTCTTTTTGCCATGCTTAACCCAAGGAAAACCTCACCTTCTGAAAGATATTCTCACTGTTAGCAGTCATTTTTTTCTGAAATAACACAGACTGCAATATTTTCTTTAGCTTTCATTAAAATGACTGACAGCCACTACTCTTCCACCCAGTCATCAACCCCGATCCCACTCCATTAGTCACTACCCAGAAACGCAGAGAAGGAAAGAAAAACTGCCTGTCCCCCAAAACCAGCCAAATAGCTCTAAGAAATATGTTTTATCGCTCTCTCAAATATACAGTTTCCAACCAATGATGATGAATCTCTGTATCCTCTTTCCCTGTGACTGTGCATGGAGAATTCAATGAGGCAGGTTCCATGTCATCCTTTTCATCTGGTTTTGGTCTTGCATCAGCCTAGCTTTCCAAAGCCTTGTTTTTATTTCTAATACAACAAATAGACTTCCATCAGCACAAAATACATAATTTTTAACAGCTTCAGAGTCATCTCCCCACCTTGGAAGAAGGATTTAAATTAGTGTTGAGCAGTGTTTGCTCAACTTGAGCTAAAAATACTTAAGAGCTGCTTTGAAAGGTTCTCGTTTGCCCATATTTGCCACTGTTGTTCCGGTAGGCAAATACCTTATCAGTACCTGTTTTTTTCCAGGCTTGCAAAGCGTAATTCACTCTTTTCCTGATTCAGCCCTACAAAGGTGGCATGCATGGACCCACAGTTTCCACGTGGGATTATCAGGTACCCCTCTCGGGCACCCCAGAAGGGAGGACATGAAGGCACGTTCTGTTTGAAGACTGCCCATCCCTGCCCAACCAAGGCCGGATCCTGACTCTGTTGAGCCAGAATGGGCAGGACCTGGGCAGGGCTGCCAGGCCTGGAAACCCCACCCCGGTAATGTCATGACAAATCCAGGCAACTTGGGCAGCTCCCAAAGTGAGACATGGAAAACAAACTTTAGCTCATGAAAAGGGACGTGACTGAATCATGGCTCTGTTTCTGAGCCTTCCTACCTCTATTCTTACTTCTCCAGCTTTAAGGGATGGAAGATGACAGAAGTTGCACTTAGTTATTAGAAGACATTTGTCACCTAGAATAAATAAACCGAACAATGCTGCTGAAGTCAACAAGATCTAATTCACAACAACTGGCTCTATCAGTAAAAAGGTAATGCATTTATTTTCATTGTTGAAATCTGGTAATAGAATAGGTAATCAATTGACGGTCAGTTTCCTGAGGAAAAAAAGAATGAAGCCCATTGGGAAGACACTGCCTCTCAAACAAACTGGAAGGTTGTGTTTGTATCTGCAAAGGTTCTTTTTACCCAACCAGCAGGAGCTGGTCAGGAGTCATTCCCCCGGCAGGTTGTCCAGATCAGAGGACCTGCCCACCATGTGCACAGGGAGACTTCAGCTAGAGCCACAGAGCGATTCAGACACCTAGATCGTACCCAAACCTGCTGTCAGCACCTTGGAGCCGAATTTATCCCTACTGAAGCTGCTCCAGATCAAAACCAGGCTGTTCAGCCTGTGCTGGTCAACATCAGCAGCTCTGGCTGAAAGAGTCCTGCTTTCTTCCATCCACTCCTTTCTGCACCACCTGCCCACCACAGAAAGTAGGGAGAGAAGAGGGACTCTTTTCCCCCTGGCCTTCTCCCACACCTCCGCAGGCAAGAGGGAAATGCTCTGGGCAAGGACAGCTGGAGGGGGTGGTGAAGGGCCTTGATCCAGACCTTTGCGCTAATGGATAGACCTTTGCTCTATCCATTTCACAGGTTCAAAATGCTCCATGAATTTTGGACATTACACTAAGTCTGTAATAAGCAGAGCCTCAGCTGAGACTCTCTTCCTCCTCAGTTAGCCTAGTTGAGTTTTGCTACACTTAAATGATAACCATAGTCAGCCAAAACACATTTGCAAAGACTGCTTTCGCGTATAAGGTGCTGTGCCAAACAGTGGAGTTCCTAATTTTCCAGCCTCAGCCTCCCTGCAATAACTGCCATCCTCATCAGAAGCACATTTTCCCAATACTGTCACTCCCCGGGTTCTGAAGAGCAAGTCTCAGCACTGCAAAATGACGGCTTTTTTTTCTCATATAACGACCCTCTTAGTACACAAAATTGTCATTTCTCATTAGTCCAATTGATCCTTTTGTTTATACGGCAGACGTGTAAGTTTACATATCTTCTAATCTCTCCTTTGTATTATAGCAACATAAATCTGTGGTTAATACTTCATTAATTTCCTAAGGGAGGCAACTTCCAGCATGGCTTGGAAAACTGATGACCCCACTGCTGTCAAGGGCTGTATGAGTAACTGACTTTATTGCTTTGGCAATAAAACAAAACCAAGCAAAAGGTATGTGTCCATATGCATATAGAATTTTGGGGTAGAAGCAAAAATACTTTTTCCTTGGTTTTCCCTACTGAAACAAAAAAGATGGATTGCTTCCTTCTGTTTCATACAAAAATGAAATGCTCTCTTTTGGATACAAGTACACAGAGCAAAGAAAATTAATGACTCCATGTATGAAACTGGGGGGGAATAAAGTAGCTTCCCATTTTGTCCAGGAGTGAGGACTAATGCAGAAGAGGTAGGAGACCAAGAAAGATTTAAATTAGAGTGACAGATCTCCCACAATGCCCTGTCTACCACACTATTTGGTATGGTTGCCGTGTTCCTCATACCTCCTCTTGATCTTATTCCACCTGGTTTAGATAAATATTTATTCATACCAGGACTGAGGCACCGTGTTCCCATTTTCCAGATGAAAGTCCTACCAACCATGCTGATGAGCCTTTCTCGTGGCAACTGCCTCAATGGCTACAAAATTATTCTATAACAACTGAAATCTTATCATCAGATAATCTGAAGAGGACATTCAACTTTCCAATATCCAGGTGGCTAGTACATTGTTTTAAGAGATCGAGTCTCTGGTTCATCCAGACTCTGGGACATACTGTATGGAGCCTGGTTCCCCTGCATGAATGTCCTACCCACTTGCTGGCTGAACAGGAGCTAACAATACCATCTCTAACCAGATCACGAATCTTCTTCTGAAAACAAAAGAAAGCAAATGCAGGAGAAGCTGTCCCGATAATCCAGCCCCATCTGTTCGGCATTTTGGGGACAGTTAAACCTGCGTTTTCCTCCTAGCTTACCACCTGCCAAGGCCATCTCAGTCAGCTCTCTTACTTCCCACCCTGAAACACAAAAGAGCCAATCCTCTTTGGTCTTGGAGGTTGAGTAAACCTCCAAGGGAAGTAAGCACTTGTTTTACCTCCTGTGTTATTCCGTGGTGTGTGATTATGGTCCTTCTGAGAAAGCTCCAAACTGGAGGCAAAGGACACAGAAAAGACTTCTCAACGCTGCTGAGCCTTTCCTGACATCAGGCCTGGCTCAAGGAGCCTCCATGTCCTGCCATAAAAAGCAGATTTTACAGCAGGTTTCATGCTGCCTTTTATCCTAATAAGGGAATAAAGTCCTTCTGGTTATCACAGTTGTTGGAGCTCCTGCATGGAAATGGACAGGTTTGCACTACAGACCGTGTCCTTTGTTTAGTAACTTATTTGGTGGAGCTTTTCTCTGTACAGTTTCAGCAGCATCAAAGGCAAACCAGGTATAGATGCAGATGCAGACTGTCTAAAACCTTCAAATCTTCTTTTTACAGGGATGTAAAGTAACTTCATATATCATGCAGCTGGACCCTTTCCATATTAGTAACACAGGACACCCAGTACTTATACTTCTTAGGAAAACAGAAATGGGCTTAAATCCTAGATCCAGATGTGAATTTGGCAAATAGTCCCTTTACAATGGGACAACAAAATGTCTCCGATCCAAACACTTCTATACTTTTGGATGTTTGAAATCAACTTTGCCCTCACAAAAATTCATTAATCATATCTTTTAAATGTTTAAACTTCAGTTAGAACGTAAAATCAACATTTAAGGTTCTTGCTAATTTATCTCAAAATTGGCATCATGTAAGATTCCCTCCATGAAATGGATATTCTCAAAGACATTGCCAAGAGTAATTGCTGCCCTTCTCTTTGTCTGCCCTCTCTTCTTTATTTTACTTTAACAGAGATAAAGAAAGGTAGGGCAAAAAGTGAATGTTACTGACACAAATGAATTCTGCTGAATTTCATTTCCATTAGATTTCTACATAACTGGAAACTTTTTTGGCAGCCTCCCATAAAAGGCATAATAAATTGCTTTTGTACCAGTACAGGAATTCATTTTCTCTGTTTCATTTAGCAACAATATTGCTGTGAATTTCACACAACAGTTTCTAAAACGTCATCAGATTTCTCTGCCTAATGTCAATCTGGCATTTTTCCCCTCTTCACAGAATAAAGGCTAGAGAAGTGAAAACAGAACAAAACAAAAACAAGTTGCCATGCCTGTTGTGTAACGTGGGGAATGAGCCAGGTTTGCTCTTCCAGCAGGTGCCCGTGTTTCGGCTATGTCACCAGGACCAGTAACTGGAAATCAATGCTGGTCTTGTTAAAGTGACCAAAGATTACAGAGACTGGATTCATCCATCTGAGGGTTTTTTCCCTCCTGACATAACCTGGAGAAGTTTATTCTCCTTGTGCAAAGCCATTGCCTATTCTAGGAATAATTACAAACCTTTGACCTATCAATGGATCAACTCAAAAGGGAAAAATAAAAATAATCAAGGAAAACAGAAGTCTAGTAGAGTATCTCTACTTCAGCATGTGATCAGATTAGAGGCTGCCTCACTCTAAAATGCTGACACCCCTTTACTCATGACAACTTCAATGGGCTTTATGAGTGTTCAGTCCCCAGTCCTTAGGGATTTAGGTCCCTAAGAAATTATTTTGCATCCTTTGCAGTCAAATTATGTCTGGAGCAACAGGATCCAGTCTTAACAGCCACCTCCTTCTAATTTCAACCTCCAGTCTCCCCAGTCCTCAGTGCTTTGAATTACAGATTCTTGGACAAAGCCAGGAGCTCAAGTGAAGAACATGAAGACGTCATTTACATAGTTATGATGTCTTCATTTACATAGTTACAGGGCTGGGGTGGAGGGGTGGGAGATCAATAGCCCTTCACACAGTTTGGGAGGGAGTCGGGGGGATGCCCATATATTGGGTTGCTGCTGCAAATTCCCCTCTTCAGTGTGTCATAGCCTCCCTCCATTACTTCCTTTCATTGAAATTTTTCATGACAGGGAGGGTATTTGCAAATGCTTTGCATATGCAAGGCACATCTGATCAAATCATGGTGAGGATAAAGCTGTGCAGGTTTTATACCCACAAAACTCCACACAGCAGAATCATATTAAAAATGGTACTATTACAGTTCTAACATAAAGATTATTAATAACATGTTTGATATACTTTTCTAGGGAGAAGGACTACAGAAAGGAAGTCAGGCTTTAGCCAGCCAAGAAGGCAACAGCATAGTGGAAATGGGATCTCATCTATATGGTCTCTCCTTCCCCAGGCAGCACGTGGCCGTACTGCCACAGCCTACACAGCTGCCTTGGTCTCAGCTGGGATTGTGCTTCCATTTCTACCCATTATATAAATCTCAGCATATTGCTCAGGGTCACTAGTACTGCTTAAGGTAATGTAAGGAAAATTTAAGGAAAATTTGGCTACATTTTTTCCTTTGCAAGTATTAGGGGAGAGCCTAAAATAGTGCATAGTAGTTCACTGGGGAAGTCTGAAACTCATTCTGAAACTGAAACAGTTCACTTTTCAGTTGGTCTTTCTCTTTCTTTGATGTGATCTGTTTATTTTATTGGATTGACAGGGTTTTCTCATGTCAAAGACAAGCCCTTTTAGTAATATCCTAGTCTCATAGGATCCAAACCCCAAACCCAATGCCCCAGAAATTGGGTGGCCCTGTCAGTCCACAAACAATCACATTGTTTTTTTCTTCCCCTTGTACAATGAAACTTTGCACATCAGAAATTAAACTATTGAAAGTAATTTGGATGTTGGGAAAAATAGTTATCATAAACAATGTCTTCATTTTATTAATAAAGAGCTACAGAAAGCCACATTAGGAAAGCTTTTCAAAGAAATTGTGTGGCAGATTAAGGGATACAGAAGGCTGAGAAGTGAGTGTGGATATAGATAAGTCTAGCCAAGGGGTTAGTAAATAATCTACATGAAGCTTCACAACTTTAGCAGTAGTATTTATCCCACATGCTAACTGAGTAAGAAAGGAAGTTTGAGATGGATGGAGTACAAGACATAAAATAAAAACTAAAGCAGGGGATGATCAGCAGTCCTCTGGTGCCACTCTGGAGCTCGGTGCTGCCAGATGCTGAGTATCTGACCCCTGAGGAGCTGTCTGTGGGGAGAGGGCTGAACCGCTGTGCACTGCAATCAGCAGGACACTCCAGCCTGATTTCAACTGGGTCTGGATCGAGATTTAATCGCACATTTTAGTTTTACAAAAAAGCTTTTATGATTCACTTCATACAGCAGGACAACATTTTGCTGGGGTTTACCAGGTATTTGGGATAATGAGTAAAAATGCATATATATATATATATATGAAATAGCTTTTGAAAACATGACATCAGCAGCAGTGCCTGGAACTATAAATTCTTATCAAATCATATCAGAAAAAAAGGGGTACATGCACAATTGTTTCTTGAAAGGATCGGCTGGGCATGAGTTATTGTCTTCCCTCCTAAAGAAAAACCTTTGAAATTAAAGAACCTAAACATCTCGAAACAAAATGTCTGGGGTTAAGCTGTGGCTAACTTAGTCATAACAATTATATAGATCTTAATGAAGAGGTTTGTAAAGTACTTCAGCTTGTCGCTCTGTTTACAGCTATATGTGATATCCTCTGAAAATCTTGTTCCAGTATCAGCTAACAAAACTGGAAAGTTTATTTAGATTATTGTTCTGTTAGATAAGATAAAAGCTGTGATAACACTGCACAGTGATCAGCCTGCTTACAGATACACTTACCCCAGAGGCCGCAGTCTGTGCGCTGGGAGAAGCAGTTTTGCTACAGTCATCTGAGTTAGTAGAAGATGTGGATGTTGGAGTCATAGGAACTGCAGTAGTACTGTTACCTGAAAGATTGACAATTGGTATTAAAAAGAAATATTTTCCAGCCAGAGAAGAAACAAAACCCCTGAAAATAAACCAAAAAAACCGAAACAACTATAAATTACTGCTATTGCACTTTCTTATCTTTTTATATTTACCAGAGCATGCCTTTGATTTATTTATGTTCTTAGGTTTTCGCTTCCTCGTCTGAATTCCTTCTTTTTTCATAGCAAGAGGTCGGGGAACCTGAAAAAATTAAATTTCCACACCAATCATAGAGTTGTATATGTACCCTAATATAAAAAATCAAAATACACTACAAGATCAAGTGTGGTCTTTGAAAATGCCTCTATAGCAACTCACTTTTTCCTATGCCACAGTACAGATTTTATAAAAAGTTTGCATTTTATTTGGGCAAAGCAATGGTTTGATTCAAGGGAAGTTTTAGATGAATAAAAAAAGTAGGGAAACCTCTTCATGTAAGCTAGACAGAAAAACAGCATACATTTAGGGAAAATCAGCATCATTCGGGAATAGGTCATAAGAAATTAGGCTGGATGGGGTATATCTGATCCTTGACTGTTTATTTCAGTCAGTTAGGCATTATCTCCAGTGCCTGATTCTGGAAAGGAAGAATGGATATGAGAAGAAAAAATACTCCTCGTCCTGTGGACCAGCTGCACAAACCAGATCATCACCAGTAAATGTCTTAGGATGGAACATTTAGGCCATAATCAACTTAGTAATTTTTCTTATAAGCAGTTCTGCCCCTAATACAGATTTATATTTTCCAAATTTATATTTATACTGATAAATTTATATGTGCTCAAAAATAACTGTTGTGTTCTGTGTCATCACAATGATAATCATTATACAGAAAAAGTCGATTTAAAATATATTTTAACTTAATGACAACACCAGTGTGGGGAAAGACAATTCAGGTGCATGCTTACTATCATTATAATGTTTAAACCAGTGACATAATTTACTTTTTTCTTGAGGCCTAGACCATGTCTCAATCACTCCTAACGCCCTTGCTCTTCAAACACTTTTTGCTTGACCATAACGCAATCCACAGGGGTGTCACCTAAAACGTACTCCATCACATTCAGGATAGAGCTTTTTTTTTCATCTTTTATTGCCTAGCAAAGGCTGAAATTGCATTTAAAGTTTTGCTGGCATAGCCATCGCTTGAATTACATTTGAAGTTTTGTTGGCATAGCTATGAAAAACTGTCTTATTAAAGGTCTAGGGTTTTTCTCCCCACTGAAGAGCTGTTTTAAATCCCAGTGGCAAAAAGACCTCTGCTGTTCATCCAGAGGTCGTTACTTTATAAAAATCTGTTGAGAGACTATAGTGGCAAACACGTAACTTGTCAAAAGCACAGCATGCTAAAGTGGTATACGTATTTTCTAATGTCACACAATTTTCAGTTGTTTTATGCACCGTTTTTTAACTCCATGGCCCAAGCCACGAGTCAACACCATTAGGATCAACAGAAACATCTCCCTGACTTGAGGATGCCTAGTGCCAGCCCCCAAGGATCCCAGGTACCTGCCAGCGGGAGGACCCCCCCCTTCCCCAAAGGAGCACCAGAGCTGGCAGGAAATCTCCCTCAGTAAAGCAGCCACTTACCCCATGGAGCTTCATGTAGAGGCCGCAGGCGTTGCAGACGGGCTCACCCTCCGCATTCCTGCGCCACAGGGTGGTGGTCGTGGTGTGGCAGTTGGCACAGGACAAGCCCAGCCGTCGCGACGAAGGCTGGAGGTAAGCACAGGCAAACGTGCATCAACAGGCAGGCAGGAGCACATGGTTTATGTCTTTATGGTTTATAAGAAGTACTTTAACACATGGTGGGGATAGTATGAGATTTTTTTGTCATATCTATCAGCAACATCCCGGAATCAGGACAGAATTATCCTCATTTCAGAGAGTGGAAAGCTGATGTGAAGAAATACTGAGAGTTTCCAACCCCAGGCAGTCACGGCAGAGGCACAATTCATATTTGGGAGCTGCTGACCCAGAGACCTGTGTTCAGATCTCCAGTCATTAGTTCTTCTTCCAGCAGGACAGCGAGGAAACATCTCCACTATAGCTCCATCCAGCTGACGAGAAGGCACATCACCCCTGTGCCGCCTCTCCAGCCAGTTCAGCGCACTCTCCCCTGTGTGGTGGGTGAAGAGTCAGCTCTGATCCTGCCACTGATACTCCCAACTCATTGGAAAAAATCAGTCACTTTAATCACTTGCCTTCAGTGGCACTGCAGCTGAGAAAAACTTTCCTGGGCATCCGAGGGGTAACACGTACAACAGCATTATCTCTGTAAAAAGATCTTTTTATCATCACCCATTTTATCCTCACACAAAAAGCAATGTGCCTTGGGAGTGTGTTTTACAGAGCAGAGCTTCCCCTCAACCAGCAGAAAAACTGGAGGGTGACAACAAGGTCCCCATGGCAAACAAGCCATTTATGACACTCTTCCCTGGAGTTTGGAGCCAAGATGAAGCAATCTTGTATCAGAAATAACCGTATAACCTAGAGCTTTATGGCCGCAGGCTGTATATCATAAGCGAAGGCAGTCCTCATAAACATGTGAAATGAAGGTGAATGGGTTATAAAAGTTTCTGTAACAAGTGATCTCTTTTACGTTCATCACAAGCAAAGAATTCCAGCTACATCATAAATCTAGTCTTTTTCAAAGTATCGCATTGTCAAAAAAAAACATAAAAAATCTGTGCCTAGCTCTGTGTCTGGCAGCTGAACAAGTTTACATGGAGAAGTCAGTTTCAGAGGATTGTATTAATCTTATTCTGACTATAAAGCACCTATAACTGAAATTACTAACTTAAGGGTACAATGCCCTTCCTCTTGAATCATTTACTGCTGGGTTGTTAGATGTAACTGGGTCACCTTTGATACCGCAGATCTGCCTGCCACTTGGGAAACTGATAAAAATGTTTTGAGAACGAAGAATATTCCAGACCAATAACTGAGTTTCTTTAATTTTATCTGTGTGTCTCTAGCAGTAAGCCATCATTTTACACCGCAGCTCCGAAAGAGCTCCAGATTAAATACAAATTTTGTAATCTTGAATCAGTAATCCATTATTAATTGCACTGAAAACAAACCAAACCACCCAGCCAAGTGCAATATAGGCTGAAGTACACACATATAGTTTTTAATCTTAAAAATCCAAGTCTCACGAAATTTTTGACCTCGCTATTAAATACGTATGCGCACAGTGTTCAAATCACACCCTTGATTCAATATGAGTTTTATGTGCATCGAGTGAAAGAAAGCTGGTCTTAAACACATATGCTTCATTTTCTTTCTTTGCTAGTGAAATGCTGTCAGATGTTTCACTCTGTTAAATCCTTCTCTTTCCTATGCAGCCTGGTATAAATCTTCATATATTTTATTTCAATAGCTTTAGCTTATTCCCGTATCTAAACAAACAGGGGAATTTTGGCATGTTTTGAAGCTAAAACGACTTTTCTGCTGCAGGAATTTTGTCAGAAACTTCGGGGCAATCTAAACATATTTAGCGTTTTCAAAACATTTTCTCTTCTCACCTACGTATTTCCACGGTTGATTTATAGTTATGGGCAGGGTACTCGGTAGGGATTGTTACGCAGAGCTATTTCAGAGTTATTTCGCTGAGGTGTCGGGCTGAAATCAGGCTGTAGTCTGACTCTGCTTTAGTCTCCTCACCCCCACCCCTCCTCCTCCAAAAAAAAAAAAAAAAAAAAAAAAAAAAGAAGAAGAAGAAATAGAGAAATGCTAGAGCCGAGTATCAGCTACTTGAAATCTGCCTTGGGCCAGGATGCCACAGACAGTGGGGCTCTGATGCGTGAGACAATTAGTAGATCTGTTCCCTCCGCTGCTGCCTTTGTTGCCCGTGATAACACCTTGTGTCACGAAATTTACTGAACGACCAGATAGAAAAAACGGGCACCTAGCAGTAATTAACGTCTGGCTTAAATTAACTCTTTGGCTAAAAAAAAGGACTTTAAGCAGGGGCGGTTTGATTCTCGAGCGCTTACTGTCTGCTCGGATCATCGTTCGTTTTGTTTCCCCTCGCTCCGGTAAGGACCCTAAATTCAAACGGCTGTGAAATAAAGAGCGGTAGATGTTGTAACACAAGGAATATAGTCACGGAGCGAAGCAGCTGGCGTGACTGAAAGGCGCTTGAAAAGCTGACGGGTTTGATACACTGTCTCCATACACAGGGGTCCAAACATCAGCTTGGATTATACCGGCGTGATTTATTGTGGCTCGCTCGGTAACAGCCATTACTGAAGAGCATATTCTTTCTCACTGCTGACCTCCACCCAGATTTGCTAAACATAATGTGCAGTTCCCGCTTGTTAAATTTTCTCCTTGCCTATTCAGTGCCAGCCTGAGTTATAAACAGGGGTTCTGGTTTGTACTATTTATTTCCCCCCCTAGTTTTATGAGTATATTTTTAGAAAAATTGTCGCTCATTTCTTTGGAGTAAAACAAAACAAAGGCTATTATCATTGTTTAAACAATTGGTTTTCTTTGAATTATATACAAAACTTGCTTACATTCCCAAGGATCGAGCTGTCAGCAAACAAAGCAGGTCTGGAGAAATTCCTAGCCCTCTGAACAAACACTTTCCAACCTTGATTTTTTTTCTTTTGGAAATGCCCAACATCACCAGCACAAATTTCTTCCAAGTCACTGATGGGGTTCATAGCTCAAAAAGCCAGACTGGCCCATGCCCCGTGTGCAGCTCACTGGGGACGCAGAGGGCGATTTCGCCAGCGCAAGGCCTGAAGGTGGGTCCGAAGCAGTTCCCAGAAGGCTGCCAGCCCTTTTGCTCCTCATCGTGACCACTTTGGTCTGCAAAACTGGTCAGGAGCCCCACTCGGTTTTGAAGCTGGGCAGACCACCAGGCTAATACACTCCGATTGCTCTCCCACATCCTTGCCCCCCGTTTCTCCCTGGCTAGCGCTCACTGGGGGTTCCTTGGGGCCCAGCTCCTCTCGCCCACCTCCTCCCCTCCCTCCCCACTCACCACTCTCTTTTGGGGCTTGATGAGGGGTCGGCTGAGGCCGTTCATTTTGGTGTAGAGCCCGCAGGCGTTGCACAGGTAGTTGCCGGTGCCATCTCTCCTCCACAGCGGGGTCTGGATGGAGCCGCAGTTGACGCACTCCCGGCTCTCGGACAGGTCCTCCAGCAGCTCTGGGAGGCAGAAGGGAGAGGCGGTGGGGCACGGCCGCAGGCGGGCGCGGAGCCCAGCGGAGCCCCGCATAGCGCGGCCCCGGCCCCGCCGCGCCGAAGGTCTGGTCCCGTGCGAGCAAGCAACCGGCGCTGTTCAGCCCTCGGAAAAGCAATTCCCCGGCAGCGACGGCGAATATGAGGTGATTTTTTACAAAATCCATCCCCTTTTTCCCCTTTTTTCTTTTTTTTTTTTTCCTTCTGTTTATTTAAATGTACCGACCCCAGCGCAGCCTTTGCTTTCCAAACCCCAGCGGAATCGGTGCGCCCCGGGACGGGCTGGGGGACACCGGCCCGCCGGAGCGGTCACTCCAGGCCCGCCTTGCACTCACGTCGGGATTTGGCCCTTGGGAAAGCCGGCTGGGGTCCGCTCGAGGGGCGAAACCCCCGTCGTGGTGCCCACCGGGTGGAAAGGGAGGTGCGCTTGGCTTTTGAGGGGAGCAGAGAGGGGAGTTAGATGCCTGCCAGAAAAGCCACTTGCAGAGCCACCCTGGGAGCCAGATATAAGGAGTGGCCGTTTTACCCAATATTCCCCATGGTCGAAGCTGGGCAAGAACTTTTTTACCCCGACTCTTATTTTAAATGCCTCGCAACTAGTAAAGCTTTAAGTTTAGAGGCAGAGTTTGAGGCTCTGGTGTGCCAAGGCAGCGACGGGCAGCGACCACTTTGCCTCGGCTATTTGGTCAAATTCGAACTAGTTGGTAGGAAACGGAGGAAATGGAAAAATACGCGGTATTCTGCCTCCTGCTTTCATAGTTACTGAACACTGAGAGGAAAATAAGGTCTAAATGCACGGGGGAAAAAAAAAAAAAAAGAGAGAATCCACCTATAAAAGCTGACACCTTCACCCCTGCGAATCCCTGTTCTGATTCAACTTCCCATATTTCAGGGAGGGGAGGGAGGAATAAACACGGTTTTTACATGGACGGTGCCACGTTGTGCAGAAATAAAAAAAAGGAGATGTTTGGATTTCTACAGCAGCTTTCGAGTCGAAGCTGGGAATGTCTGTTTCAGACTCAAGAGCTTCATCATTGATTGTTTTTTCTTTTTTTTTCTCCCTCCGCTATCTGCTTTAATTCATCACTGGGTTATTCTTTTACGTTTCGCTGTATAGCGAAAAAGAGCTTATAAACCTCGAGCAGCTTTGGACACAGGGTTGAGGTGCCACGGCGGGCATTCAGCTGGGAAAGAAACGGCCTTTTGGCCCGCACCCACCCAAATACTTTTCTCTCCTCCCTTCGTTTGCAAATTATTAGGCGTTAAAGAGGAACGGGCACACGGCACAGTCCAGAGAGCACAGTTCAACTGACATTGTCAGCGTGTAGCTCTTAGCACATCGCTAAGATTAATAAATCTTTGCACTAAAAGCGCCATAGAAGACTAATCAGGAAAATGCTTAAGGCTTCAAGGACGTTGAAGTTAAACAGTTATTTGTCTCAGCTATTTACTTTATAACATTGCCTTCGTGCCTCCAGAAACAAATTCTGCCGTGACAATAATTCTCGGGCATTTAAAAAAATTTTTTCTCTTACCGCGTTATAATACATTTATCTTCAAAGAAAACAAAATAAAGTTTTAATGTTAGATACTGTTTTAATATCTCTACGAGTAACATTAAACAAGCTTTGTCAAACTGTCTAATAGTTAACCGTAAAAAATATATTTCCTCTACAATTTCCCTGACAATTTTCCTACAATTTTGAAAAGGAAGCATGCGTGGCTTCGGCTTTGCTGGCGCGTTTTGCACTGTAGTACCAGAAAACTCGCGTGGCCCAGGAACTGCGGACTGCTTTGCTCCGCGTTACACCGCGATGCGGCTCCACTGACACCCGTCCTTTCCCTCATCGAAAAATTGGTTAGCTCGTGCCCCACTGGTTCCCAGCACTGGGGAACAAGGGTAGGAGAGAGACCCCCGGGACCAGGGGAAGCTGACGTGCTCCTCCGCGGCTGGCTTGGCACTCCTGCCCCAACCTCCTCCAGCGCCCTCCTCCTTCCCTTCTCTGCTCCTTCTTACTCATCCTTCTCTCTCTTCCGCGAGATTCTCCAACCCCATGTCTCTCCCGGAAAAAAAGAAACAACAACAAAAAACCTAACAACGAAAACCCCAACAGATTTATTTTTCCTTCATCGTCTAGTTTTATAATTTTTGGAAACTGAGTTAAAAACTCAACTTCCGCGTCACCCTGAGACCCGGCTTTTCTTAGCACCACTACTTCTCTCTGTTATGTTATTAAACACCAGGTGGGAAGCTTAAAATGCTTAAATCTACCGGGTACCATCGAGAGAAGGGACGAGCATCACGTATACCCCTGAAGAAAGATAAAAAGCCATGGGGTCATTATCCACAACACTGCACTGAAAGAAAATCACGGTGTCTATAAAATATACCCACCTGGTGGGTAGTTTACGACTAAAGCGAGTGCTGATCAAATCTGTGTATGCGCGTGTGTATGCATACACACATCTATATAAAAACATATACATAATATATATGCATAATGTCTAAAAATATGTATACATACCCACACACACCTCTCTATACACCTTTATTTATATATACATACATATATTCTAAAGCAAAAGAAACTGCAATAATCGTTTATCTTTCTACCTCTGACTAAATCATTGCAGCTCAGCCTCCACTTCTACAATTAATTTAATGACTCCAAGAACTTCCCACACTAAAACAAAAAATAAGAACGGGACACCTCGGAAACGAAAGCAAAACCCCATCAGGAGGTGTTGTATTTTAACAGCAGTTTATAAATGAGATTTCCTAGTTCATATCCGAGATTTTGCTTTGTTGGTTTTCTCTTCTAACGAAGCAGTGTTTTGTAGTTGAAAAAATCCAAAATGGGTTAAGGGAGCCCTAGCAATTTTCGTTCACGCTACAAGAAAAACCAATTTGCAGTGAATTTGTCACCATTTCTCGGCCAGATAACCACACATAGGAAAAGGAGGAACGTAAGGGTTTGGAAAAACTAAAAACTAGGTTTAAACCGGGCAATTCCTTTTGGGATCTCTGGGTTTGTAACCCCGATCGCCGTAGTCCAAACAACGCCGCTTTGGGGGGCTGTGTTCCCTCCTAATCCAACACGAACGACGAGAGCTACCTTCACTCCAAAAAGCCATGATGTCGGGACTGCCATCCTGCCACAGGCACCAGGGCCACCCCACGCCGTCCCACCTAGCCAGCGAACCCCGCGCATTCCGGCACCCCCGTGGCCCCTCCAGCGGGCAGCCCCGGCATGCGGCGACCCTCCCTGCCCTACCCTACCCCGCCCCGCCCTTGCCCGCGCCCCCGGCGACGGGTCCTACCTGCGCTGGGTGCCCGGACGGGGATGGGGGCGGCCCGGCCCTGGAGGCAGTGCAGCATGGAGTTCTCGAAAGGCGCCGTGGGCCAGGCGGGGGTGAGCTGCGGCCCCACGTAGGACGTGTAGGGCCCCGGGTAGGAGCCATTGAGCGGCCGGGCCAGGGGGCTGTACTGGTCCCTGGCGCCCAGGCTGTTGCTGTAGGCACCGGGCTCCCGGGAGGCCCCGTTGGCCACCGGCGGGCTGGGCGAATAGGGGAAGCGGCCCGAGGGGTGGGAGCCGCCGCCGGTGCTGTACGAGGGGCTTTCCGCGGCTGGCTGGGACCAGACGGCGTGGCCGCCGCCCGGGTGGCTGGGCTGGGCCGCCCCGCTGCCTTGCAGGTACGGCAGCGTGGGCAGCATGGAGCCCACGCGGGTCGTGGGCACGTACACGGGCGAGCTGGGCGTGGAGTGCATGAAGCCTCCCGGAGATCCGTCGTAAGGCGTGGGGCCCTGGGCGGCCGAGATGGCGAGGGTCTGGTACATCTCCTCGGGTTGCTCGGCGCCGAGGGCGCTCAGCTTGGGGCCGCGGCTGGACCAGATCAGCTTGTTGGTTTGGTCTAAGTCCGCGAAGAGCAGAATGTCCTCCCAACTGAGCCGGCCGGAGGGGTGGGGGGCCCCGAAGTGCACGTAGGGGGCGAGCAGAGACCTGCCTTCGGCGGCGGGGGGCGGCAGCGGGGCCGGCCGGTGACTGTCGTCGGTCTCCGGCCGAGGAGTCTTGGAAGAGCCGCGTTCACCCTGGGAGCCGGAGGAAGACGAGGAGGAGGGGGGCGAAGGAGGAGACGGGCGCGGCTCCCTGGTGGCGAAGGGGCAGGAGGGAACACCGGTGTCCGCAGCGCACCGCTTCACCGCGCACCAGCCGCCTTCAGCCACGGCCATCCAGGTCCCCTTCTAGCCGCTGGGTGTGGATGGGGAAAGGGGAGGAGGGGAGGAGGAGGAGTGGAGATGGGGGTCCGCAGAGCAGGGCGGGGAAGGAGGACACAGAATAGCAGGGAAGGGGGGGAGAGAGAAACAATAATAACAAAGTTTGCAAACAGGACAGCCCGTCTCCCTCCCGTAATGAGATTCATCAGGGCTTATCTGGACCCTCTGAACGCTTAATCAGTCATGTCGCCTAGGCGCTGTTGTCCCTCCCCACGGAGGTATGGGATCGGGCAGACCAGATCAACAGGGGTCGGGAGTCGCCAGTCCCGCAGGGCCAGGGCTGCGGCTTCGACGCCGCTCCCCGCGCTGCGGGAGGGCTGCTCCCTTCTCCTTTCGCATCCCGGGCTGCGGATTTGAACATGAAGCACGCCGGGGAGAGGTGGGCGGGAGGGCGTGGGGAGAGAGGGGGGCGAGGGACATTTTTCCCTGTCTGTGCCGCAGCCCCTTCCTTGGCTGCTGTCGTTGTTATGATTATTTCAATGAATGAGTCATTTGACTCGGTTCCACCGAGAAAACAATTAGTAAGGCGATCCCTTTAAGGTTACTTCTCCGGAGGGCAATGTTAGCTTTTCCGCGCATCGCCTCGCTTGTTTGCTTATTTCCAGCCCAAGGTCACGGAAAGGAGGAGAAGGAGGAGGGAAAGGCACCCCTGAGACGGGAGATGCGCACGGTCAGGCGCCGAAGTGTGCGCGGCGGCGACGGGACACGGACCGGGGCAGGGGCCGGGCCGGGTGGGATGTGCCTGCCGCGGAGGCTGGTGCCAGCGGACAGTCCTGGCTGAGGGCCTGCCTCCAGTCCGAGCACAACTCTCGGGGCTGACACCCGTCCCGAGTCGACCGGTCTCAGTTCGGAGCCGCCGGCATGAGAGAGGCTGAACAGACAGACGGACACAGAGCGTCCGGTGCCCAGCCTCAGGGAGAAGGGGCAGAAAGTGAAAGGGGACGCGGAGAAGTGACAGCAAGAGAAGCGGGCGGTGAGGCTCTCCGCTCTCAGCCCACCTCGGGGCTCTTCAGATAGCCATAGGCACAAGAATACAGGACACACACAGAGCCCCCTCGCAGACAGGCACCAAATACGTCTCTCCCTCCTGCGAGGTAACTGGGAGATAAGGCTCCGGCAGATAAGGGCTCCAGGCACCGGCATCGGATATCCCTCGGGCTCCCCAGCAAGGCGCAGCTGCCGCTGCGCCGCGCTGCCCTCAGAGCGGCCGAGGGCGGAGAGGCAGGAGCAGAAGAGCGAGGAAGAACAAGGGAAATCGCGGCGAGGCAAGAAAAGAGAAGGGGGCCAAACCTGGTGCCGATGCCCCGCATGAGGCTGGGGCGCGAGGCCGCGGCGGGCGGTAAATCCAGTGCGGCGGGCGTGAGCGGCGGCGGCGAGTCCGGCGGCGGCCGCCGCCGGTTCATGTATAAAAAGGAGAGAGGAGGCGCCTCTCGCAGCCCTGCCGGAAAACTGCAGGCAGCCGGCCCTGATTGGGCTCGGCCAGCCCTAAACAAACACGGGACTCCGCAGGGGTGCCAGTCCCGGCGGTCAGCCGGCCCGCCGCGCCGCAGTCCCGGGGGTGGGGTGCCCGCAGCTACAGGGCTACGGACCCCTCCTTGGGGAGCGGGAAGGAGCAGAGAGGGGACTGCCCTCTCAGATGCCACAGTCTTTTATCTTCCTGCCATGGTTTCAAACCATGACACTTCCTTTTTTTTTTTTTTTTACCCAGAAATAATACACACTCTTCCCTCCTCCCCGGATAATATCTTCTTTATGGTGAATATTCAGCGTTTTGGTTTTTTTTTCTTCACACCTCCCGGCATCGCAGCGAGCATCCCCTGGCAGCGACCCGGAAGGATGTGTGCTTGGCTCTCGCCCTAAGCAACCAGGTTTCCCTCCTCCAAATCTCCCTATTTTTACTCCTTAAAATAAGAGCTATCCGAGGGTAAAAAATGTGGCTCCTCCTTGAGTTGCCCCAGCCGTCAGGTGAAGCCAAAGCAAGCTGTGGGATGTGTCCATCCCAGCAGCTGGCGGTAGGCATTTTCCCTCCGTTTCTTTCTTATCCCCCCCCCAGCCCTCTTATCTCAGCTGTGTACAAACTGATATGGTACTTAGCAGGAAAGTGACTGGAAATTAAAATAACTTCGTTCACCAGAGGTTATCAGTTGGATATCTGTCATCATCAGTTTGTACAGAGAGTCATCGGCGGCTAAAGGCTGAACTAGAGCAGAGCCCGGCTCTCGGCAGCCGGCAGGCATGAGCCCTCCCGACAGAAACCGAGCCCAAACCTGCTGATGCGCGGTGCTGCCGTTCCTGGGGTAGGCACGGCTTTTCTTTCGGTCTTTCCAGGCAAGGTGAACGGGAGGTGAAGAATTTGCAGTGCTGGGGGTACGGCAAAACTCTGGCTGTAGCCATCCGGTCTGCCGGCGTGGGTGAACCGATTGTGACTTGGAAGTTTTATTATGCGCGTTAATTTTTGTCGTATAGCACGGCAGACGTTTGGTCGGAAAACAATCAATTTCTCGATAAACCGTTTCTCTATTAAATTGTACGATTAAAGGTTATACTTCTTTCTTGTCAGTTGTCTCTAAATAATATCCTTAAATAATATCGATCACCCTGTCAGGTTGAAGTGATTTCTTTTTATTTTAGGTGTATTTTAGCGGGTTCAATATTAAATAGAAAATAAGCTTTTGCAATCGTGGGCAGGGATTCGTTGTCTGCCAGAGCCCGGCTCGTTTTCCGATCCCACCTTGCAACGTAAAATATTTTCCCATGGTTTTTACCTGCAAATGTGCGACAAGAGCAGGAGAAGACGCGGGAATCGATGCCCACGCGACTTCTCCCCAGCTTGGGTGCTGCCACTGCAAATTTGTGTGCTGAAAAGCGCCGAGCTATCGGCTTTAAACCCTGCATTTCCTTTCAGTCATTTGGATACCTCTTTTCCATTTAAACCCGAGAGTATTTCAAACACGTGTAAGGGTGCATATAATGCGAGAAATACCGTGAGGGTTTTTTTTCAAGCCAGCGGCACATGCCGGTGCCCATGTAACCCCAGAGTGGGGAGTGGGAACCTGCCCGGGCCGGGGGGTGTCTGCCCGAAAGTTGATGGTGGCTGTGAAGAAGAACGGCCGCGCTGGCCAGGCGGGCGCCTCTTTCCCTGACTCCAAAGTGACCCGTGTTTTACACTTCAGGCGCCTTGGGTTTTTTCTTTTTTTCTTTTTCCTTTTTTTTACTGCCGATTAGCCTGTTTACCTTATAGCCGGGCTACAAGTTTCATTTTATTTCCTCCGACAGATACGATAAGAAAACCCGGCTTAAACTGGGACCAGCGTGGGAAACCGTTTTCAGTCACCCCTTTCCTCTCCGTTTCGGGTTTGCTCTCGAACCGCTCAAATATAGTCTTCGGTTCCTAACTTTCCATTACGTCACTCCTTTCCCAAATCCCACTCTTCTGACGTAACTTTCGCCCCGGAGCTCCGGGAGGCTCTCAGGTATCTCCTGCCCCGGGCTTGGGTTAGGCACCCGGGGGTGCATGTGTGGAAGCATTTTTGCGGCCGGGGGGATGCTCGCTGTGGGAAGACACCGCTGGGAAGGTGGTGCCAGCAAGGTAACCGTCGCTCCTGATCGCTGTGGCCAAAGAGGGAAGAAGGCAGATTGGGGAAAAAAAGAGTTTCGTATCCAATTAAGGCAAATTCCCTTGTGGGCACTTCAGCCTCCCAAAAAAGGGTTGGGGGACAGACATGTGCACGTGCAGAGCAGTTGCTCCTTCCCCCACTCCTGGGTCTCTGCAAACGTGATCCCTTTGCAGGGATGCACTAGGGAGGAGGGGCAGGCTCGATCCGGCCGCATCTCCGCCGCCCCGGGAGCAGCGGGCATCGCCCGCCGTGTCAGGCCGCGATGCTCCCGCGGTGCTGCGGCCGCGGGGGGCCGGCGGGTTCGGGTGTGAGGCGGTACGAGGGGTCACCTCGGTGACTATCGCAGGTTGGAGTGTGTTCTTTTCCGAGACGTGTTTATGTAACTTAATGTACTTTAGAAACTGCTGGGGAGTTTAGGCCGGGCTGATAAGCGCAGCGGTTATTACGGGCGACGTGCCGGCACCTCTCCGCCTCTCTTCTCCCCTTCGCTTATCCGCACTACTTAAAATATACTTTTATCAAGGCCACCCCACGATACGGAGTGTTTCCATCCCGCAGCCGCTGTGACATTGAAGCGGACTTATCGATCGGGGCACCGGCAGCGCTCAGGCGCGCCCAGGTCAGCGGGGAGCTGCCGGCCGGCCGGCTCCGAGTAGGGCTCACGCTCCCGCCGCAGGCACCGCGGCTGAAGCCGGCGGGGCAATCCGCATCCACCGGGAAAGAGGCATTTCAGAGGGATAGGGGCCTTTGACATCACCCATCACCTCCACCTCGGGCCGGGCGGGACAGCCCTATGGAGCTCAGGGTAGTGGTTAATCAAATTGACTTCCAAAGCAGTAGCGTACGGTACACAGCACAGCAAGGACGGGGGCGGGCATAGCGAACGTGCCCTTTGCGATAGACCAGATGTGTCCCGTGGGGAAGGGGGACACCCAAATTCTCAAGGGTGAGGAGGGATTCTTTTTACTTTCTCCGAAACTCCTAGCGAAGGGCTCCCAGGTGGTCACAGGCCGGGCTTGAGCTCCAGCCTTTTTTGCTGGACGCAGATAGCAGACTCCGGGCCCCGCGGCTGCCCCGGCCCTGGACAGGACACCCTGACCAGGCTCCGAGGATCATTGCCCGCTCCTGCCGGGTGGTTCGGCTCTCCCCTGGGCTGAAGCCGTGCCCAGCGGTGGGGAGTGGGGCAGAAGGTTATTCCCCACTGCAGTAAGCAGCCTCCCCGTCACTTGTGACCTTGTGCCGCGTGCTTTTGGGTGATTTCCACGGTGTCTTTCAACCCTTGACGCTCAAATAAGCATCAGGCAGCAGAGAGCCCACATGGACATTTAGGCAATAGGTGTCCGAGCGTGTGGGTTTTGCGGTTTGTTTTGGTTTTGGTTTGGTTTTTTGTTGTTGTTGTTTTTGTTGTTGTTTTTGGGGGGGTTGGGGGAGTTGTTGTTGGGGTTTTTGTGTGTGTTGCTTTTTGGGGTTGTTTTGTTGTTGTTGTTGTTGTTTTTGGTTTTTTGTTGGGTTTTGTGTGTGTTGGTTTGTTTTTTTTTAATAATGATCTACAGCTTCTTTTTATTTGCCTGCCCTCCAGTATCCGAGGTCCGGCTGGTTCTTGATTTCAACCTTTAAAAAAAAAAAAAAAGGAGAGAGATATTAAAATCAACAAAACGCGCGGAGGAGGCTCCTGTTGCTGCGTAACCTGACTCCTGGAGCCGGCGATCCAGTGCAGTACCCGCACGCTGAGCCCCTCTGGGGAGCACAGGACGAAGGCGATGCCCTCCAGCTCTGGGGGTCGCTGGGAGGCAGACCCACGCAGCACCCGAAAAAACATAGTTATGACTTAGATGCTTCTGTCCAATGGGCGCATATGCGCTTTGTCTCTTTCCAAACTCATACACGGGGACTTTGAAAATGAGTTAAGGATTAGTTGTACTGCTTCTCGGCAGTTTTAAAGGTTTTTAAGGGTCAGTGACTAAAATGGCCTAATTTTGACTCTTTCATCAACGGACACCTCCATGCCCTTACTACGAAGCATCGGGCCTGTGTTGCACTTATGCCTTGTGGTGAAGAATACTATATATATATATATATATATATATATATATATACACACACACACACACAATAATTGCAGCAACCCCTTTCTGCGCACAACTGTGGAGATAAATCAAGTACCTCGACTCTGTGTGTGGATTGGCTTCTGGCGCCCCGGGTGAAAGAGCCCGTTTCGAGACAAGGCCAGAAGGAAAAGCCCCCACCCTGTGTCGCCGCCTCGCCGAGGGGACAGGGCGGCGGGAGGGTGAGAGCCCGGGGCCGCGGGGTGGGAGCCTGGCGCGCTCCCCGGGCCGGAGCCATGGGGGACCCCTTGGATCACTGTCTTTTCCTGCCTGGGTGCTAGGGCAGGCTTTCAGGGCTCTCTTCTGCTGGATCTGACACGAAAAGCCCGGGGGAAAGTTTCTGGGTGTTCTTGCTGTGAGAAGTTGTTGTGGGAGAGAGGGATACGGAGGGATGCGGAGCATGGCGGAGCCGCGCTTCTCCTCCCCAGCGCTTCAGCGCCGGGCTTCTCTTCATCCTTCCCCGTTCCCTATCACGGATGTTAGGCGATATCAAATCCGATCTGCAATCAGCTGTCCTACCTCCGCCCCTATTCCCGCAGCACAGGTTGCAGAGACTTCATTCTTTCTCACTTAAAAAACAAAACAAACAAACAAACAAACAAACAAAAAAACCACCAAAAAAA